TAGCATCAGTTTTAGTCTCTCCTTTTTATGCATTCCTATCACAGTCTTTTCATTTACCTATTCAATTACTTGTCCATTCTGGTTTATCCCTGACACTAGTGTGCAGGTGTCTTCTCTCACATGAGAGTGGAATCACTGTAAACTTCTGGACTAGATTGCATTTTCCTTTCATTTCCTATGAAGCCTAACACAGTGATTGAATGAATGAATGAGAGAATGAGCTAATTAATCCATATTTAATGAATGAATAGCTGTCATTCTCTCAAGTATTTCTACCTGAGTAAGTCTTCAGGATTAAGTTGAGTAGCCACATAACCAGAGATATTGATACTGTGAATTTTACTTTCCATGCCTGTGAACAGGTCATTGCCACGTACAAGTCTGCACTCTGCAGACTAAACTTAAACTAACACCATGTGCTGGGAGGTCTGCTCCCCAGTCTCCAAATTAGCTCTTTCTCTTTTGGATTTGATGTTTTCAGTTGATTTTGGGCGGAGCAGTTGGACTCTCTTCCACCACATGGCAATGGCTTCTAGTGGTTGACACTTCATGGTGAGAAAGTGCACACCAAACATTCATTTCCCCAGAGGTTACTAGCTAAACTGCTACCTCTCCCTTTCCTCCATAATATATCTTTTCATTAGGGTATACATAGTACATAATACCATTTGAAAGGTTAATTTAATACATTAGCACCCTTCTTGGCACAATTAATTCCCTCATTTTAACAGAAATGTCTAAGAACTTTTATCACATGCCGGTACTGTGTTAAGCTTGAGAGATATAAAGATGAATACAGCAAGTGTTGCAGACTTTAAGCAGTACCCAAGTCAACAAGGTGGATTGGAATGTAAATAAGTAATTATTATAAATATAACAAATAGTCTAGTAAAGGGAACAGTGGCTCTTCAGAGAAAGGGGTGAGGAGCCCTATCAGTGATCTGAGAGCTAAGAAAAAGCTTCAGTGCTCCAAACTTCTACGCTATGACTAATCATAGTGACTAGATGTGTGAGTCATTCCTAATGGAGTTTAGAAATATATCCATGTAAATAGAGTTAAACTCCTTTTCAGGGAATGGCTTGATAAAATTATTTCCCCTTTTTGTTCTCCAGGAAGCAACAGAAAGAGGAGGAGGAGCAGCAGACAGAGGCAGCCAATGATGACTTTCTTGAGGTGAAGTGTACTTGGATCTTTCTCAGGGACCCAAGTGGCTCTGAAGGGATGTTGAACACCTGGGACTGCAATTGACAGAGATGAGCACTCAAAGGTAATAATGTGCATCTAAAAAGGATTGCTACTGCTATGGTGGGTTAGAGGAAGCAAACACAAACTCTGATCATTTAATAATATTCCTGAGAGCAAAGCAATCTGCCATGTAATGATTTTGGTTACTTAAAGGTTCCATTTCAATCAGCATTTATGCACCTGGGATTTCTTGAATCTCTCTCTCATCACACACATACACACACACAGAGACACACATACACACGTGCATCCCACTCTTGGGTTCCCTGGCTCAAGGCATCACATATGCAAACACACAAAAGCTAACTAACAAACTGGAAAACGAGTAGCATTAAAATACTCCACAATTGAAACATTGTTAGTCAGGAAGTTTTATGCCTCTTTATAACTCAGGTGGAATCACTAAGGTGCAGTACTTCAGAATTTCCAAGAAGAGGTTAATAAGGAGCATTTGCTAACTAAAGAAACATCCATACCCTTCATGTTTTTATTCTTCAGTATAAATATGTACAGGAAAGCAAAAACAAAATAACACTGACTTTTATAAGTGAAATGTGGACAGATATGTTAAGTATTGAGAAGAAAGTTGGTGCATTTGCCATATTTACCTATTACAGTACCCATTGATACTTGGCAAGTCATTCGTTTATTTATTTTAAAGGGAAATTTCCACGTGCCCCTCTCTCTTAATCAACACTAAAATAAACTGTGCCAGACAAAGGATAGGACCAAGGGCAGCTGGCACAGCAATCCTTGCACTATACCACCAAACCAGAACTGCTGCCACTGAACACAGAGTAACAGATGGTGGGACCGATAGCTCGAGAGGCGAGTGATTTGCTCAAGGTCATAAGCATTTCAGCATCAGAACTAGAAATAAAACCCAGAATGACCTTTAAAGCTAAATGATGTTGTTTATCTGTGTCATCTCTTTGAGAAATGAAGTCCCAATTAATTAATTGCAGGATAACTATATTATGCCCATTGTTCTTTATTAGATTCCATTATGGAAATGATAATTTTGTTGGAGAAGATGCACTTAGCCAATTTTATCTGACTGTACTGTATAAAGAATCAGGAGTACATCAAAAAAGCAGAATGAAATAAATGCTTTGAGTCCCAGTGTGCTAGTCTAAGCTATTGAATTGTATTCTCCGGGCATTTGACTTGTGAATATGTATACAAGAGAGTCAGCCTGGCTGACATTAAAGGTGGAATTTCTGACATCAATGTATAGAATGAATTGACTAGAGTGTGAAAAGGGGAGAAAGGATAGGGAGCTTGAACTCAGGGACAATAATGTATGAAATTGTTTCAGTCACAGAGATCAAATATGAAAGGCAGAATTAAGTCTAGGACTTTGAAGATGATGCCTTATGAAGACAGCGAGTAATCATGTCTTTGTTTACTGAAGATGAGGAAGGTATGTTTCTGGAAATACTGGAGTTGAGATACAAGAGTGTCCTCAATGGGAATATCTCGGGGGCAGTTCGATTCACTTCTGCATCTCAGAGGGGAAATCGGGTCTACAGTTACAAGCTTGGCAGTCACCCATAGAAACGTGATAAATAGTTTATGACAGTGAGTGAATTTGAAAGGGAGAGTAGATGAGATGAGGAGAGAGTTGGGAACAGAATTATTGGGAAAAGTTTCATCTAAAAACCAGATGAATGATCCATGAAAGATAAAAATGACATATTGGACTTTATCTAAATTAGAAACTCCTGGTCTTTGAAAGACACTGTTAAGAAAATAATAAGATAACTCACAGACTAAGGGGAAGAAAAACATTTACAGAACAGATTTCTGATAAAAAGTCTTGAATCAAGAATACAAGAGGAATTTTCAAACTCAATAATAAGAAAACAACTTGAATTAAAAAAAATGGGCAAAAGATTTGAACAGATATTTCAGCAAAGATATACAAATGGCTTAATTATTTCTTATATATGGAAATATCATATTCTTTACTAATGAGAACTCATAGACAAAGGACTGGGAGCAAGCATCATTGACTCAATAATACAAGGATCATAAGAGTACATCCTAATGTAGTGTTTATCACTTGCCAGATACAGTTTTATACACTGTACAGATATTAGCAATTTAATGAGTTAATAAAGTAGGGGCTTACTAAACCATTTGTAGATGAAAGAAGTGAGGCACAGAGAAGTAAAGCACTTTTCCCAATGTTACACAGCTAATAAGTGTACATTTAAATACAAGCACTCATGCTCTTGGTTTGAACATTAAAAAAAAAAAAAAAAAAACTAACTCACTGGCATCGACTTGATTCTGACTCATTGTGACCCCCAGTGGATTTCCAAGAGTAAATGTTTACAAAAATACATTGTCCAGTCTTTCTTCTGTGTAGTGGCTGGTGAATGTGAACTGCCAACCTTCTGGTTAGCAATCAAATGTCTTAGGCACTGTGCTACTAGAGCTCCTTTATAACACTTTACTGTCTCTCAAATGACCAATAATACTGGGGATCTATCTCTGCCTAGCACTTGGTCATATCACGTAGAGCCATAAGCAATTGCCTAACCTAATTCTTTTCCTAAAGGAGCTTAAAATATAGAAGAAGAAGAAGAAAAAAAGCTTATGTCACCAAATACTTGATAGCATCTACTCATAATCCAAATTGTGCTATTAGAAAACAGACAATAAACATATAGAATATCATCTTCTTATTTGAAAGGTAAGGTCTACAAGGATCATTGGGGACTGCTGAAAGTCTATTAGGAGATTGACTTCTATAGTTTAGAACCTCTTCGGTTAAAGCAAAGACCCCAAAGGTTAAAATAATTCAAATAAGGAGTAGAGGTTTGAGTATGTTGAAAAAATAATGTTCTATGAACTTTTATGATTCTACAATTATCAGCAAAATATTTTTTGTCTTTTTGATTCTTGATAGGGTTCTTTTGTTTTAGGTGGTTTCTAGTGACCTAGGAGCTCTGGTAGCATAGTGGCTAAGACACTTGCCTGCTAACCAGAAGGCTGGCGGTTCAAACCCACCAGCCACTCCTCAGAAGGAAGGTTGGACAATCCTACTTCCGTAGTGATACTGCCTCAGAAACCCAAGGAGGGGTCGCTATGAGTCGGCCGACTCGATGGCACATAACAACAACAGTGTAAACAAGGATGGTTTGTGTCCTAATGTGACAATGATCCAATTAAAACATCTCCCTATGGTAGACTTGTGACTGTTGAGTGACCCGAGCAATTTCTGTTAGCCACGTACTGTCTCAACAACACTACAAACCCATTCATAAGAGCCTTAGGTTTCAGTTTTCATCTTTATTTTTTTTCTATTCCCAATCAGCAGCATCCTTTACCCAGAATGAGAACTGTGTAGGACGGCTGTGATAAAGAGCTAGGAGATCGGAAACAACAACAAAATATTTCTGAATTAATTGATTCCGATTAGAACAGAAAACAGTGACTTTGAAGCTGTAACTATAGAAGCCAGCCTAAAACTATAGTCTCTTCCACTAAATCTCAGATTCACTTCTGTCCAGCAGCCCAGCCTGGAAGGAAGCCAAGTGCGTGCCTCTCACAACTGGGACGTGGGGAGGGAGGCAGTGGCTGGAAAGAGAAAGAGAGAGAAAGAAGGAGAGGAGGAAATGGGAAAGAATCAGGAGGAAAGAAAAAGAGAAAGAGTGATAGGGAGATCATGAGAGACAGGAAAGAGTGAAGGATCGGAAGGGAGGGGGAGTGTAAAAGCCAGAATTTTATTGGAAGCAATTGAAGTGGTTGCTATGAGATCCGCGGGGGCAGAGGACCAGCAGCCAGCCTGGCGCTGATGGGTCTCACCGCGTTCTAAACCTTTCTTTTGACACAGTTTTAGAGTTGTTTAATATCTGAGCAAGCACCTGACACGGATGACTTTTTCCTTCTCTCAGTCCCTCGGGTAAGATGGAGGTAGAAAATGAAGCCAGCTGCTCCGCGGGGAGCGCATCAGGCGGGTCCAGAGAGTACAAGGTGGTGATGCTGGGAGCAGGGGGAGTTGGTAAAAGCGGTAAGTTTTCATACCAAATGCTGGGGAAGGAGGGACGGGGAAACGCAGCCGGAGAGAGAGGGAGAGGTGCTGATGCTGTAAGGACTGGTTGTGGCAGTTAAACACTGAGGATCTGGCAGGATGTTTAAAAGTGTAGGGGCCGATAAAGGGATGCTCATGAGTCAGGAGAATGAAGGGAGGGCCAGCCATGACATACAGAACTTTAAAACGGTCGTTTTTCCTTTGGATTTCAGGCCTGGCAATATTTGCTCTTAGTTTGCTTGCCTTTTTTAAAATAATAGCATGGTATTTGTTAAATAGCCATGACATTGGGAAAATTTTTTCCTGTCCTCAGATTATTCACATAAATAAAGATGTACTGTAAATATTCAAAGAAACACGCATACTTGATTGCAGACACATGCACTGCGCTCTCAGAGCTGGTAATTGGGTTTGTTGCTTTGATTGGAAAACTTCCTGCCTCCTTTTCATGTTTGTGGTTCCACTGAGCATGTGTGGGTTTTGAATGCCAAGAGTAAAGTTGGATTTTGAAAGTGACAACAGTTTTGGGGATGGTATACATTGTAGGATAATCAAATCAAACTTTGTGGCTGACTGAATTGAAAAGGGGAGCTATAAGAGTAGAGGAAGACAGGCTGGTAGAGAAGATGAAGACAGAAAAATTGGTTTTGGTATATAAAGAAAAGAAGTTGTCAGTGATCGGGTTTCTTGAGGGACTTAAAAGACCAAACATAGCAAATTAACGAAACAAGGATATAGTAGCAGTTGAAGCTGAGTAAATGCTGGATAGCCTGGGGCTATGAATATCAATAGACGATAAACAGAAAATTGCAACTTTTTATATAAACAAATATTTTTATATAAATAAAAATATAAAAAGATACTCCCATCCACTGGGGATACATCCTTGGGGATGCCCAAAGCAGGAGAAATATTAGAATTAGCATGGATGAAAATTATCAAAATACTTCAATAGTTTTAGTACTTGACAAGAAGATTGAAAGTTGAGACCAAAATTCTTTCCATAAGAAACCAAGAAGCTGGTGACTTTGGTGGTATGTGTACAAGTGATGAGATGATTGATAAAGGAAGAAGGAAGGGGAGCGTGGTGTTAGAGGGCAGCAAAAATGAAAGGCCAGAAAAATTGCAAGAGATATAAAATGAACCCACACTGCCCCAAAAAATGAATTACAAAAAAAGAATTAATAAAAAGATCTGGCTATATAGTCTGACACCAAATGCTAGTCAGAGTGAGAAAAATGAGTCATCTCTCCTAGGAAGGAACTGTGAAGTGAAAAGCTTTATAACTGTATATTAATGAGGAATTTTTTTAAAAAAAAACTTTATTTATTCATATAGTGACTTGAGAAGGGAGGAATCAAAAGGCTAGTGCTTCTGGGAGGAGGTAACTATGGGGAGGAAGTGGGAGGGGAGCTGCTGCATTGTAAATTTTGGTCAATGACATGAGACAAAGTATATGTGAACTGATGTATGAAAAGTGAATTTACTCTGTAAATTTTCACCCAAATCCTAATTAAAAAAAAAAAAAAGGCGAGTGCTTAGAGATGCAACTAAAGGAGAAGGCATAAAGAGGGAAAAATCTATACAAAACAAAGATGTTCTGAAGAGCATAGCTAAGCAGACACAAAGAAAAAGCAAGATACAATAAGTGAGAATACAATAGTGAGGAGAGAGGGATAGGTTTAATGGTGGGAGGCCAACCCACAGAAGTGCCACCCATTGACTTGTGGGGTCAGTCACAGAGATGCTACAATGGTCCTACAAGATGCCCACGTATTACCTTTGCTTGTTGGCTTGGCATTTTCTTGGTTCACCAGGAGCTTAGGAGATGTGGGAATAGTGTGGTTAGTTTTTAGTCTATTTTATGCCATATAGATTTTATCCATATAGATATGGAACTTAGAGAAGAGCAATATTGGACAGGAGCATTCTTCAACTATACACTTATTCTAGGGTGCTATTAGCTCTGCTATTTTGACCCCCAACCCCCCCAGTATTATTTGTTCTGACTCATCATTGTCACCAGTCCAATAACTAGGAATTTTCAGCATGAATGCAATGGCAGAGTGGTCTGGCTTGCTCACACCGTTACTTCTTCCAAAATAATCCAGTTCATAACTCAATACTTGGACAAACGTATTTCCAGTATTATTATGACTAATGGAAATACCCAGATTTCCTCAGAAAAGGTTGAGAATAAGTGAGGGGAAGCAAGTCCAGTTATACTGATTATATAAATGGCACACTCGACTATTAACCCAATGAGGGTATTACTCCTACCGATCCCATGTCTGGAATCACAGTGATGGAATTGTGTCTCACCCTTCTGCTTTCATCCCTTGCCCTTATGATTCATGTGGTGTTACTGAAAAAATGCAGTGCTCACTCACAGTGACCCTATAGGACAGAGTGGAACTGCCCCATAGGGTTTCCAAGGCTATAAATTTTTGCAGAAGCAGATTGCCTCATCTTTCTGCTCCAGAGTTGCTGATGGGTTTGAACTACCGATCTTTGGTTAGCAACAAAATGTTTTAACCACTGCACCATCAGTATGTAAATGGTCAAGCACTGAGTCTCAGTATTAACCTTCTCTTAAAATATTAGCTCTGAAATGAATTTAAACTTAAAAGAAAAAAAAGCTGGTTTTTTTTTTTTATTGCTGAAGATCCAGGTAAATAAAGGTGCATTTTAGCTCTTCTTCCCACAATTTCAGTGCCTTATATGAAGGGATGGTGTAGGCTCATTGTAGTGAATGTGTGATGACATTTCAAGGGAGCTCTGCTCCTCTGAAAAATGTAGATGAATCCGGCCACCATCTGTTTCCAGTTTGAAGAATCAAGTACAAGTCAACCTTGAACATGGATGAAAAACTTATTTTTCTGTGACCCTAAGTTTTAAATGAACAAAACCTTGAAAGTTGTTATGCTTACTGAATAGCTTTTTTCTCTCCATATTTCATTAAGATATACAAGTCAGATATTTGGAAACAATTTGCAACTTCACTGGAACATGGATTCCCATGAGATTTTAAATATGTGGGTGCACATATGTACTATGTGTGAGAAATTTTAAACAATGAACAAGTTATTGAGCATATTCTGTGCATGGACCCTATGCTAGACACTGTGGAAGGGAAGAAGGAAGCAAATGAACAAAGGACCTATTATATGGTACAAGATGGGCTATGTGCTTTGTATGCTTGTATCAATACTCATCACAATCTACTTAGGTATATCTGTTTTATACATGGAAAAACTAAATATCAGGGAAATAACCTGTGCTTAGTCATGAGGTTAATAGGTTATAGAGCTTTGTGAAGTTTTATCTAACTCTACTACCTTATGCTTTACACCCTGGGGAGGTGAAACAAAGAGTTCCACCGAACACTATCCAGAAATCAGGGCTGTTGGTGATACATTCTCTACATCTTAAATGTTGTATTTGGGAGAGTTGTTAATCATCTTGACTAATGCTCATTTATATACTCTGTCTTTTAAATCTTTAAATTAATATAACTGAACACCATATATAACACTTATTTCAATAAATATAATAAAACAATTATTCAAGAATATTATAATATGCAGAGAAAATAGGGAGAAATAAAAAATGGTCCCTGCTTTCCAGGAGCTGATACTTACTTGAAAGATGGGGAAACTGAACCCCCAGAGTTGAAGTTCATGCACACATGGCCCACCATATGCTGTTTTTCCATTACTTCCCAATTTTTACACAGGAAAATTGAACCAAACTGAAACCAATTATTCAATGAATTTGATGTAACTTGGGGACATTACTAGCCCTCTTGCTCTACTCCCCACCATCCTCTCCCCTTCTTCTGAAAAAAAAAGGTGGGGGGAGAGAGAAAGAAATCTCACAGTTAAGGCTTAGGAAATTTATGAAGTTTAAAAATGCTTAAAACTATTTTAAATATTCTTCATCTTTGCGGCTTGGTGTATAAAAGCACTTCCTCAATGACAGAACATGGTTAGTGTCTGCTTGCCTTCCCTTCATTTGCATCTGGTTCACCCAGTACAGAGACTCCATTTATTCAGCAGATCTTATCCAATGATAATAAGATTTTATTTTCCAAACTACATTTTACCTATTCTGTTTTGTGATCTTAATTTGTTGCTGAAATGATTTAAGGAAGTGAATAGGTTTTCTACTTTTTTTGTTTATGGCAAGGTATCTGAGGCTTGGAAGTGTTAGCATATGTGCCCAACAATAAACAGTAAGGATATAAGTTATAGGAAATTAACTGTTTTCTAACCTAATTTTTTTTTTTTTTTTGCCAAACTGCATGGGAAAAGCAGATAAAGTATCCAAGTGTCAGAGGAGAGCTATATGTTCTAATCAAGTCCCAAGGACACAAATTGGAATTACCTTGGTGAAATCTTATCTAAATATGCAACTCATGATTCTTGCTTTCTGAGTTCACCATCTCATGGGAGAAATATAATGTATAATACAAAATAAAAGCTTTATAGTAGGTCTGTGAATGGAGAGCTGTGACTAAAACTGCATGCCAATGTGGGAAAGGATCACACCAGGCAGGGTATTTGACTTGTGTACTAAAGGATGCCATCACCCATCTGTTAGTTTGTTGTACTGCAGTGGTTTGCTTGTTGCCATGTCTGAAGCTATTCAATCAGTATTTCAAATACCAGCAGAGTGAACAGGCATCAGATGAGCATCCAGAATAAGACTATAAAGATATGCCTGGCATCTTCTGAAGATTGCTGTAGTCTTGTTCTCAGGTGCCATTAAGTCAGTTCCAACCTATAGTGACTCTATGTACAACAGAGCCAAACACTGCCCAATCCTGTGCCATCCTCACAGTCATTTCTGTGCTGAGCCCATTACTAAAGCTACTGTGTCAGTCCACCTTGTTGAGGGTCTTCACCTTTTTTGCTGACCATGATATCTTTCTCCAAGGATTGGTTCCTTCCGACAACATGCAAAGTACATGAGATGAA